CCACTCCACCATGTACTTTGCCCTAATAGGACTCCACACAAGGTTAGAGACAGGGTGCAGGTTCATTCGAGATTTGACGTATTCCACTTTTTTAGTCAAAGCAATCTCTCGATTATTCCTACCAGTCGCCAAAATACGTGAAAATATACTCAAATGTTTCGAAAAAATCATTGAACCTGCATCCCACCAACCAACAACTGAATCAAAGGAGTCACAATTTTTTTTTCAATCAACCCAAAATCTGTGCATCCAGTCATTGACCCCCAGATCTTTTAGGATCTCTGTATTGACCCTAAAATAACCAGGGCTTCTTTCAGTTATAATACAGTCGAGCAAGAGCAGGACCGGTTTATGGTATGAGAGAGTATTTGACTGTTCAAAAATATCAATCGTGGTATTCCAAACTGTAGGCGAGACTAGGTAGAAATCTAGTCTTCTGTTCATTGTAGCTCTACCCTCCCTGTAGTTCAAAGTCCAGGTGAAACCTGGATTGCCGGGGTGCAGTAGGCTGTAAGGTTCGGACGCATCCAAGTCAACCATTAATTCAGTTAGCTCCTTAATATTTTTGTTACCCCTAGTTATTTCGTTCTTATGCAAGGAGGTGTTTCAATCACCTATGATAATTAAATTCCCACAGTCCGGAATAACCAAAGGAAGATTACTGAAAAAGAGTTCACGTTCTTTGCAGTTGGTTGGCGCATATATCGAGACAATCACCCACTCCTGCTTTCCCATCCATAATTTTACCCAGGACTAGCGGCCTCATAAATTTGCACAAAAGTCCACAATCTCAAATTTAAGGTTCTTGTGGATCAAGATAGCAACACCTCCCCTCGAACCACAAGTTGGGGACCAAATTTGTGGCCCACCCCACCATGCTCCTAGCTCCACAATCTTTGATTCTGAAAGCTTTGTCTTTTGGAGACAAATGATATCCCCTTTTTTATCGTGAATCCAGCTATTTAAGCGGCCTCGTTTATTCCTGCCGTTTGAATCTCCTAACCCACGGATGTTCCACTGCCCATTCATGGGCAACGAGCCAGTCGGTTGGATCTGGACTGAACTAGTCGAGACTGCCCCAAGTTGGGGCCAGGGCTCGAGCAACGCTCGATTCAGGAACGACGAGTCGAGTTTTTTGTCCTTACCCAATTTGGAGTTCAATTCGTGGAGAAATCCGGCAGTCACGTTGGCAGCCACTTTGATCCGTCGAAGTTCCGGCTTCCTTGCATCTAGGCACCAAGCTAGAGGAATTAGGCGAAGGCCTTTTCTCTCCAGGGATTCTAACTGACCTATAGTGAAGCGAGTATGAAAAAAAGGCGCAAAAAATTTCACTCGACTATCGACAATATCAACAAGAAAACGAGGCATGGATACTTCTACGATGAGTCGAGGAGTGAGTTTGCCCTAGAACAATGTTTGAGCTAGATTTTTAGTAACACAGGGTATCGGGGACTCAGGACATGACATGTTAAACATCAGAGGGTTCCCATCCAATCCTATCCAAACAACCACCCAGAAGGAATCTCTAACCGCAAAAATAACAATCGGAAGGAGTCTTGCTTCTACACTACTCTGGCCCTTCGAAAGGATTTCCATTCGGGCGCGAGAGGACTTCCGTTTACCTGAGGTCCCCGAGGGGGTTTGGGACGCAGATCGGAGGGGGCCATTTGAGCTACGCGAGGCTTCAACCATCAGTCCATCGATTTAAATATCAACTCCCGTACCCTCGCTTAGCCTTCGTGCTTTCCCAGGAGATTCTCCCCGGACACGGCTGCCAACTTGAGAGGTTGAGCCTCCTACAGGGGCCGCTGGCTGTTGGTATTGGGGGTTCATTCCCATACCTTGGTTCATGTCGCGAAGCGCTCCCCCCTGCCCATAGGGCCAAGGGGCAAAGGTATGGAGGTTGACGACAGATGGACTTGCATTCAAAAGTGGATCTGCAGCGGAAAAACCTTGTTGTTGATGAAGATACGAATGCGGCGAGATTCCTTGCAGGTACGATGCCCACGCAAGATTTGCAGTCGAATTCATCGGAGTCGGTTGTTGAATACCTCCACCTCCACTCGGTTGTCGAGGGGAAGGGGAAAAGGTAGGGTTGACCTGAAGTACGGTTTCCGCTGGAACTCCAGGTGGCGCCGTACTGTTGGGTCCCGCTCCCGAAGCCTATTGAGTGGTTGCTCCTGGTGCTCGGAGCGAACCTTGATACGATGGTCGAGGTGCTCCTCCTCCAGAAGCTGTAGACGTCTGTGGGTTGTTGGGAGCTCGCTCCCCTTGATTTCTCCTTGCAGGTCTCCTACAGGTATCTTCCGTATGGAAGAAGGTGCGGCATCTTCTGCACCATTCACTGTCTGGACATGCCAACTTCACTTCCATTAAGTTTCCCTGATAGGTTTTGACCCAAATCTTGTCCTTCATAAACTCCTTCCTGCTTGAGGCGATGTCGAACCTCAGGTTGACCAATTTTGGATCGGTCTCGTCAGCTTCTGGGAGGTGGGCCTTCACAATCCTCCCAATTGTTATTTCCTCGTGATCCCGTAGGAAAACCAATGGCTGTCTCCCGTTGCCTTGAGGGAAATGCTTGGCTCGGTTTGGTATATTGAGGAAAAACTAAGTGACCTCACATAAGCGATCCCAGAGCAATGAAAACATATTCTCAGTCCGGAGAGTGTGGACCCCCCAGGCACCTGGTACATCAGTCGGGCACTGTAACCTACTCCAATTTGCTGGAAACTCGCGAGCATTGATGCCCACGGTAAAAGGTCCTTCCAGTGTTGGAAAGGTAGCGATGTCGACTCATCCACTTTAGTACAGCAGGATGGACCCTCTGAGTCACACCCACCGCTAACAACCGAACTAACTCAAGTTCGAGTTTGGGAAGATTGCGGTGAAGAAGGCAACTGGCAATGTAAACTCTTCGCAGGAGGAATGGCAATCTCTGACCTTAAACTGGACCCAAAAATGTGGGGTTGGAGAGGAGAAGGGATGGGCATGCACGATAAGTCACTGGTATGTTACTCGGTTTCACAAGGGTATTTGGCACAGGCTTCCCCACAGACACCTAGATCTTTTGCAGTGGCTAAATGGACGCAAGTCTTAGATGTCAATGAGCAGATTGAAAAGAAATCGGTCCGTTGTTGGGGCCAATTGACGATTGCCCCTTACCCCAGACTGTCTGCAAATCTTTGGTTGCTCTCTCTCCTGGCCACTCCATCTGCGGTAAACCCGTTCCAAAAAGGAATGAAGATCGATTTGACGTGCAAACGATGTAACTGGGCCTATGAGTGAACCATTCACCTGTGGTATGATTGTCCTGCATCAAAGAGGATATGGGATTGGTGGGAATCCCTTTGGGCTTGCACGGCAGAAGGAAACTTGGTATGGGATAAAGTTTAGGTACTCTTGGGGGGAATTCCAGAACACATGGATCCAAAAAAGGGCTGGGGCTACATGGCCCAAGCAGCCAGAGCGGTGGGCTGTAATGTTATTTGGAAAGAGAGGAATCTACGGATTTTTGAGGATTGGGAAATGACCAATAAGGAAATCAATGCCTTATTCATATCCTCACCGAGGAGGATTATCCAGGCGGATTGGAGAAGAAAGTGCCAAGGATCCTGGTTTGGTGAAACTTGGGGGTTAGGCGGGGAACTGGTGAAATCAGTGGAAGGGAAACTGATTTTCGACAAGTGGTTTTGGGAATGAATTGGGACTACGAACGCGGTACTCGGTTCTGTTGATCCACAGTAGGACGGCAGTTGGATAGTGGAAAGGAGGGAGTACACACTGACTCTGTGGTCCATTTCGGTCCACCCATAGTATTAGACGGATGATTTGGACTAGTTAGATATAGGTAGGGTAGGAAGTTTTTCTCTGTTTTTCATTTTTTCTTTATTTCTTTTGTTTTGTTAGGCTTTAGGCCTGAGGCTTCTTTGGTCAAATTCTGGGTCTCGCTCCACTACTCTAGACTCTCTAAGATTTTCGAGAGTGAGTCTGGAGCTGTCAGACTCTAGAAACGACTGAATAAGAGAACTTCGCTCCACTTACTCTAGAAGGTCAAACTTGAGAAGGCCTCTCGGATGTCAGACCGCTCTTTGAGAGAGCTACACGACACGGCCAGCACGTTATTGTCCGCCCAGACTCCAGGTGCACTCCATAAAAATGCTCAACTTTCGAAGGTCCTCTATGCCTCCCTTGAAATTCCCGCCGCTGAAGGCGGGCGGTCTCGAAAGCCAAGAGTGCCACGGGAGAGGAGGTTCTGACAACTCACTAAAATCGTTTTCGTGAGTGTGTTTCATGAGGTAGTGGAGCGACGAAGTATTCTCGCATTTTCGTGAGTAGATACTGACAGCTCAAGAAAGCGAATTCCAGACCTTGCGTCTAGAGTTAGTGGAGCGCTGCCGCGCTCAAGAAATGGCCTATTTCTAGAGTAGTGGAGCGAGACCCTCTGTTCCTAGAGTATCCTCAGACTCTCACTTGTGATGTTGTATTCAATGAGCAATTGCTCGTAAGCTAAACTGGCTGAGGCTGCCAGGATAATTCCGGGTTGAATTGTGACGTCCCCGGCCTCGATTTGACCTTGGTAATAAATTGGGGAAAAAAAAAAAAAAAAAAAAGGGGGTTTTCCCCTTTTTTTTTTTTTTTTTTTTTTTTTTTTTTTTTTTTTTTTAACCCGATTGGGTTTTCACTTCCGCGGGAGCGGTCCCGAAAATTTTCCCAAGTCGGGAGTGGTGTGGCGAGGCCCTTAGTCCCCCTTGCCGCTTGTGTCGAGTTGCGGCCCACTACCCTCCGAGTCTGGCTCCTGCTAGTCGAACCATTGATGTTACACGAAAAGCCAGTTCCTTGCTGCGGGGAAAAATTGAGAGGAAAAAAAAATAAAAATCGTTCCTTCAAAATTTTAGGACATCTCCAGATTTCGGGCGGCCAGGTCGCCATCCCCCAGACAGCTATTTCTTTGTGGAAAGGTTCGGCCCCTTTCGAGTCGCTTCCACTGGCGTGGCGGCAGAGCGAACGTGTGATCGCGATCCCCCGGTGCTTTCTCTTTCTCACCGCCCCGGCTTCGGCGCCGACGAGGACGACGAGGAGGAGAAGTCAGCACTGGAGGGAAGCTATGGCGACGCGAAGACGAAACAGACTGGGCTTATGTGTGCTGTTGGCCGTTGCCGTTTTCGCGGCCATCGCCATCGTCTCCATCGATGCAGCGCCGAAGGCCCCCTTGGACGAGGTCACGCACAAGGTGTACTTCGACGTGACAATTGGCGGGAAAGACGCGGGAAGAATAGTTTTCGGCCTGTTCGGTAAGACAGTGCCGAAGACAGTGGAAAACTTTCGCGCGCTTTGCACAGGAGAGAAGGGAGTGGGCAAGTCGGGCAAGCCGTTACACTACAAGGGCTCGCCTTTCCACCGCATCATTCCAGGGTTTATGATTCAGGGCGGTGATATTACGATGGGCAACGGAATGGGAGGGGAGTCGATCTACGGCGAAAAGTTCAAGGACGAGAACTTCAAGCTGAAGCACACAGGAGCGGGCATCCTGTCGATGGCGAACGCGGGAAGGCACACAAACGGCTCTCAGTTCTTCATCTGCACAGTCACGACAAGTTGGCTCGATGGCCGACACGTGGTGTTCGGTAAGGTCATCAGCGGCATGGACGTGGTCTACAAGTTGGAGTCGGAGGGCTCCCAAGAAGGCACTCCCAAGCGCAAGGTGCTCATCTCCGACAGCGGGGAACTCCCTCTCTAAGGTGTTTATTCCCGCTCTATGAGGCACTGAGCACCAGGAGGCACTGAGCACCGACGTGAATAGACAAAGACACGCGTGCGTTTGTCACGTGGTGTTCGGTAAGGTAATCAGTGGCATGGACGTGGTCTACAAGGTGGAGTCGGAGGGCTCCCAAGAAGCTACACATCTCTAAGGTGTTCATTGCCCCTGTACAGAGGCACTAAGCACCGACGTGAACAGACAAACAACACGCGTTCACGCACACGCGCAGAGCGACCGGCCCGCGCTTTTGCACGCACACACTCCAACGGTATTGCTACTACCGTAAGCATCCTGTATTTCAGCAGATAAAGATTGATCTAAAATTATGTTTTTTGTACGTGTAGGGGAAGAGACGGTAGTTAGGGTTTCGGAGATGAGGAGGAACAGTTATTGTAACAGCGTCGTTAAGTTTGGTGGAGGTGTGCACTGTGTCTACTTTTGCAGAAGATGGTGTAGTTGGCTTTTATACGGCGAGCTCTGCTTCTGAGCGGCCAGATGTGAGACATTTATTTTTTTTGCGGACTAGAAAAGAGGGGCCGTTTCAGAATATCGAGGATGTCAGGTTCCCTTGAGTGGGATCTCTTGCAGACGGTGGTGGTATATAATCGTAAAATGGATCGTGTCTAACAATCATCGTGTATGAATGAGAGGCGAATTCTCATTACCTAATGACAGATGAGATCTGGATTCCATGAGCAATTCGATACTCCTTGCCTATTTTTTCGTTACCTGAATCTCTTACCTTCCTCCTCGTTCTTGCCGATGCGGTGATTGAATCTCTTTGCAGTGTTGGAAGTTATCTTCATTGTCATGCCTTTGGCTTTCGTTCCTCCCACTCTCTCTCTCACACCTCCCCGCCTCCGCCGCCTTCTTTCCCGCCGCTCCCTCGTCCTCTCTCCTCCTCTCTCTTCCTCGCGTCCACCTCTCTCCTCATTTCCCTTCCTCTCCTCTCCTCTCTCCTCATTTCTCCTCCTCTGTCTTCTCCACCTATCGTGAAGGGCGTGCGAGGGCTCGTTGTAGCATTTTGCTTGGAATGCCATGGGAATGACGAGTCGGTGGGGAAGGAGGAAGATTGCGCTCACGTAGTGCAGGCGAAAGAATGATGCCACGGTGATGATGAACATGGAGATGCACATGATGATAATCCACGGTGATGATGATCATATCAACTGAGGCTAGTATGAAGGTGGATGGGACGACTATTTATGGAGCTGTGGATGGGGATGATGACGGATGATTGGTGATGGAATATACCGACGACGATGATAATGATGATGACAAGGATGCTGCTGCTGCTGCTGATTATGACGATAATGAATGTTAATGACGATAATGATGATGATAATGATGATTACAATGACGATAATGAAAAAATTGCTCCTGTTGAGGAAGCATTGGCGAAGTATGCAAATGCCTCTGATTGGTCACCGAAATAAAAAGAAAATGAAAAGAAGACGCCTCTTTTTGTTGACCGTTATTTGAAGATGGACGAAAAAACAAAAAAAAACAAAAAATCGATGGAATCCAACAAGTGGTTGCAATGAATGTGAAAACGTGATGAAATGACCAACGGCGTCATGAGAACCGAAAAAGTTGCAAAAACAGAAGGATCAAACAAACAGTGAAACAGAGCCCCATGATAAACAAATGATCCTCGCCCCGTGCAGACGGGCACTGCGTTGCTTCCTTATCAAACGGTGCGGTGGAGGGCACACAGCAAGTGAGCACCAGAGGAGGCGACCTGCAGTCTTTCTCTTTCTCTCTCTTTCTCTTGCTTCTTCCCCATGATTTCTTCTTATAATTGCCCCCCACCTCCCTCTCTCTCTCTCACTCAGTCTCTCTATACATACCTTTCTTACTCTTTCTACCCCTCTTACTCTTTCTACCCCATGATCTGTGTACATCGCCACCTCTCTCTCTCTCTCTCTCTACCATTCTTTCCTTTTCTCCCCCGTATTTGTTCTCATCACCCCCTTGATCCCTCTCTGTCTCTCGCCCTCCCTGTCTCTCTCTCTACCTTACGTTCCTGATTTTTTCTACCCCGTGGTGTGTTCCTCTCTCTCTCTCTCTCCCCCGCCCCATGATCCCCCCCTTCTCTCACTGTCCCTTAACTTCTCTACTCATTAATGTGTTCATCGCCACCTCTCTCTCCCCCCTCCTCTTCCCCCATCTCCCCCTTACGTTTCCTTTTCTCCCTCATGATCTGTTTTCATCTCCCTCTCTCTCTCTCTCTTTCTGTCTCTCTTCCCCTCCCCCCCTATGATCACCGCATTTGGAATTATTACCATGGAATCATCACCGTTATCACCTCTGTGTGTGTGCTGTGGGTTCTGCCTTTTCCTCGTCTTTCTCGTTTCCTTCGTTTTCTTCTGCCCACTCCTCCGCCTCCTCCTCATTCGTGCGTCCTCGTCACATCCACGTCACTGCACCCATTACTGCATCTCTGTGCCCAGCGATGCGGATGTTCTGCAATGATGTCCCCTACCTACCTCTCTTTTCGTCATCTCCACAGATTGAACGAGACTGTCTTCCTTCGTCGTTGACATTCCAAGGACGACGAAGGAAGGCACCTCTCACACATTCTGGTGCGAAGAGACTGCCGAATCTTTCGGCCGTTCTCGGCCAGTAATCCGTCGTCGCATCCTGTGGTCCACGTGGCACGATGTGGATGTGTAGGTGCTCTGGGATCGAAGCCCCCGACCGTTCCCCTATGTTGATTCCGACATTAAAGCTGTCAGCTCCGACTGCCTCTGTAACTATCTTGGATGCGTACCCAACTAACTGGATCAGATTGATCACCTCGTCGTCAGAGCACCTGCCGATGGATGCCACGTGGCGTCGTGGGATGACCATGACGTGGCCAAAGCGATAAGGTTTTGTGGAGAAGAGAACGCGACCGTGGTTGCTGCTTGCCAGCTCGTCGCGCTCCCTACACAAAGGACAAGTCGTACTACTGGTACTCCTTTCCCCCTCCTCGTCCTCGTCCTCCTCCCTCTGCGTGTCGCCCTGTCCTTTCCCTCCCTCCTCGTGCTGCCACGTGTCGAGCCTGCACGCCACTTTTTCCTCCGTTTCCCCCTCCTCTCTCGACGGCACGCCGAGGATTGCAATCGCTCTCTCTTTCTCTCCGTCGGCGGACGATCCGGCTGGAGGATAAAGAGAGCGAGGAGGAGCCGCCGCCGACAAAGGGTTCGATCCCGCGACCTTGGCCGTTATTCCTGATGACGTCAACATTTCGCTAAGGACCGCTTGCACGCAGTCTCGAACCCTCGACTCCTGGATGTGCAGAATGGTGCTGCGCGCCGTCCACCACATGAAGTTCGTTTCTCCATCGCTGCGATTGACCACGTGGATGTGGAGGTGGTCCATCCCGCCCTCCGATTGCACCAAGGCATCGTCCGACCAAGGGCCATGATTGAATCCCATGTTGAAACTAGGGGAGGGGCCCGCATGCCGAGCCCACGTGGAGCCCTTCAAGAACCCTTCGTACAGTGCTAGGCCCGCCAAATGGGCCACCCTCATCAGTTCCAGCAACTCGTCCACGTGGCAGTCGGAGACCGATGCCACGTGGCGCTTCGGTAAAACGGTGACGTGTGCGACCTTGCTGCTCGCACCGCTCGTCCCGACGCCCCACAGCACTCGCGTGAACTTGGTCGCGCACACGATTGCTGCCGTCTCCGCGCAGAGAACGCAATTCGGACCACGTTCACGTTCCGCTACTGGGAGTGGTTCTTCAGCCCCGCTCTTATTCCCGTTAATGTGGCAATCACAGCTCTCCACGTCGTCCGTGCGACATCTGGCCACAGTGCTCACTTCTCCTACCCCTGCCATAGCTTGGAAGATCCTCAACTCCGCCAGTGCAGCCGCGGAAAGATGGGCGGAAAGAGGAACTGGGGGAGTTGCACGGACGGCATCAGCTCGACCTCGAATGTCAGGTAGACGAAAACACCGAGGGGAGATGCCAACTCCATTGAGCTATTTATAGCCACCTGGAGTACCGACGGAAACGGCCTGTCGAGGCCTCTAGTTGCACCAATCGCCATGCTCCAACGTTCTTGAACGAATCTGGACGAGCACGCTACCGAGATGCATTCAAAACCTTGGCGGATGGCGAGCGGGGCAACTACCGTATCCTTTTCGTACGGACGCCACGTTGGAGATGTACGGGCGCGCCTGCGCCTGTGGTCCAGTAGCTGAACGATGGACGGGAAAGGAGGCGGGGGCCTCACTTGCCTAGGACCCGCCTTCACCCGAATAAAACGCACGGTAACACAACCATAATGGCGTGTGTTCTGCAGGAGCAGGTCTATAGATCTCGAAAACAAGGTCTACACCCGCTGTCGAAAAATGAAAACGGGAAGGAGCGACAGCAGCTGGAACTGGGCCCAGCGTCCACTATCGACCAACGAGCGAGTTCCAAAGATGGTGGCCACTGCAGACCCCCGTGGTTTGAGATATGTTTTCTCTCCGACTGACGTCTGTACATTCCCCTTACGGGGAGAGAGAGAGAGAGAGAGAGAGAGAGAGAGAGAGAGAGAGAGAGAGAGAGAGAGCTTCCGCCAAGGCTCCGGGGGAAGACCACCATTGACTTTCTCGGATGTATCTGCCATCAGTTAAGTTCAAATTCAAAAAAAAAGTTCAACTTGAAGAGAGCGAGGATGCCCTTCTCCTCCTCTCGCTGTCCGAGTAGATAAGGGACAAAAGCTAATCACTGCCAGAAATTCGACCAATCCAGGTAAGAGAGGCCTCTCAGTAGACAGGGGCTTCGAAATAGGTACGTACTACTTACTACCAACATTTGGAATGATTTTTTTTTTTTTTTTTTCTCGTTTGAAGCAGCAGCAGCGGCTGGCTAACACAAAGACCGAGACCTGCCAGTAGCTGCTCCTCCCTTTTTCATCGTCCCCCACCCCTCATCGAGTAGCAGCAGTGGCTATGGCCAATACTCTCCCACACACCACACACAACCCACTCGCGCTCGCACTCACACCCATGTTGGTCATAGATTCCACTAATACCGATTAGGAGTATCCAGAGGACTATCCCAGTTCGTTGGCACTAGGTGCGGCGCAGGCGGTCATGGGGCTTGAACCCACAACCTCCTGAATGCCACTAATCCAGCGGCCTAGCTCAGTTGGTTAGGCATGCAAGTGGCATTCAGGAGGTTGTGGGTTCAAACCCCATGACCGCCTGCGGTGCACCTAGTGCCAACGAACTGGGATAGTCCTCTGGATACTCCTGATCGGTATTAGTGGAATCTATGACCAACATGGGTGTGAGTGCGAGCGCCAGTGGGTTGTGTGTGGTGTGTGGGAGAGTGTTGGCCATAGCCACTGCTGCTACTCGATGAGGGGTGGGGGACAATGAAAAAGGGAGGCGCAGCTACTGGCAGGTCTCGGTCTTTGTGTTAGCCAGACCCCCACTGGCGGCCCCAACCCTATACCCTAAACATTAGGGGCAAGGGGCAACATGAAATCTCCCCTTCACAGTGAGAGGAAACTATGCTTGCAGGGATCCCCTCTAGATAGCCTTAGGAGTAGGTTGTGAAAGGCAAAAACAGAAGTTGAGAGAAGAATATAGGAAAAAAACAACAACAACAACTACTTACGGCATACTCACACTAGGCCCTCGAAATCGCAAAATGAACGGCCAGATTGAGTCCTTGTAAATGAGTGACTCGATCTGGCCGCTCAATTTGTGATTTTGACAGCCTACCGGTAGTGTGAGTGTACCCTAATGTCATCATGACGAAACTGTTATCTGATGGGGGTGGGGAAAAGATGATAAGGGAGGCACAGTTACTTTTACTGGCAAAATTGCTCCGTTCTTGTGTTAGCCGGGCCCCCACCGGTGGCCCCAACCCTGCACCACCCTAAACGCTCGGGCCCACCTGCACCACCCTAAACGCTCGGGCAAAGGGGCAAACATGTCGCTACCTCTCTCCACTCTCCACCGAGAGAGGTAACCTCCCTTCACAGAAGAGAGGTAGAAAGCTTTTAAAGCTTGCATGGCTCCCCTGTAGAAAGCTTTTAGGAGTAGTGGTAGGTCGTGAAAGGAAAAAAAGATATGTTCCATGACATGGCAGAACGTCAGTTAAAAAATATGTGAGGTGGGAGAAAATATATATAGCTGTGCCCCGATGAGGAGAAGACCGAAAGAAAGAAAAAAAAAATCACAAAAAGAAAAATAAATAATACTAATAAATTAATAATAAAAATTAGGGAAGGTATTTAAAATTTTATATAAGGATTACGGAAACCATATTTACTTACATAGGGCTTTGCTCCATTACTCTCGAAATGTGCAAAACGAGAGTAAATCTTCCACTCCAACATGGAAAGATACACCGCCATGATTTTTGTCTTGTGCATGTCTAGAGTAGTGGAGCCAGGGAAAAAAAAAAGGGAAAGGTCATTTGATCTGCTCAAAATTTATGGGAAAAGAAAAACAAAAATTGCCATGAAAGACGAACCGCGTACATGAATGATTAACCTTTTTTCTTTCCTTTTCTTTTCGGGTGCGCAGGCATAGCCTGCACCACCCACACCCGTAGCACCACGGGCGCTGAGTGAGTAAGAGTAAATGGTGCAATACTGAAAAGGACAACACTTTCAAAAAGGAAAAGAGATGTGGCATGATTATCTGAGAAAAATAGTAGGTATTTTTTTCTATCTTTGATACTTTATTGGGGTCGGGAGCCCACAGGGAACACTTCGTGGAATAGGAACAACCTCTGTGAGTCCCAGAGGTCCAAAGTGCTCCAGAGCTCACAGAGAGACTCTGAGAGAACAGGGGCCATGTCGCACTTCTCGAGGTTTTGTTCTGGATTCGAGTGTACATGGCTCCTTGCCATCCGATCTGAAAATCTCACGGCCCTAGTGTGACCACGTTGGAAAATACACGAAACATAAACTAAACCCCCGCTAGTGGGTCACGGCCCCAGGATCCTGGGTGAAGGAGATGGCTGAGACAAGCGGTGTATTTAGACCTGACCCTGTCTGAGCCAGGCTTTACTAATGAGGGGGGGTCCGGATGGTATTTCTATCTTGATCGAGCTCTGAAACACTTCTGGCTAACAGCATGGCGGAGGCGGAGAAGAAGTGGTGGAGGCGGGGAGGAAAGAGAGAGAGGAGATGGCGGGGGGAGGTGGGCGGAGACGGAGGGGAGGTGGGCGGATGCGAAACGGGAAGTGGGCGGAGTCCGAGCGGAGGTGGGTGGAGGCCGAAGTTGGGCTCTCTCTCTCTCTCTCTCTCTCTCTCTCTCTCACACACACACACACACACACACACAAACACGGTGAGCCTAGCGAAGACAGGCGTCATTCCCCAATTTCCTATCAGGAGATGTACAATGGGAGAAAGTTCTGAAGGAGGCTCACAGGAAAGATTCAAGCTCGTGTGTGCTCTACTTAGCCCATGGGAATGAAAACTACACACACATGGACTATAAATAAACTTATCACGAGTTCGAACTCTTCTGAGTCAGATTGGATATTAGAGGCTACCCCCGTGATAAAACAAATAATACTGTTGTGAGCTCAGCTTGTCCACCTGGTCCCTTTGTGTCCAGACGACTGTGATTGCACAGAATGAGTGAGGTGAAAATCAACGGAGGAGATTCACTAACTTAACTGTCGCCCTCGTCCGCGCCCACCCTTGCCTCGGGAGTTCCACCTCCCTCCTCTCCATGACATTCTGTTCCCTGGGTAGCCACGCCCACCTACTCCGCTGCTTCTACCCCAACCTGAGGCGTCAGAGCCCCACCCTCTACCACCACCTGGATTGCTGGACCAGCCCAAGCCTTGCCCACCACCTTCACCCCATCCACTGCCTGGGCCAGCACTACTCTCTGTTCCCCAACCACCTTCGCCTTCTCTGTTCACCATGCCTTGGTGTGCTGTAGGCCATGATCCACCCTCTCCCCTCCCCCAACTCTCTCCTCCAGCTGGCCCCCCTTCATCTGCACTTGTTTTAGTCCCCCACCCATCACCATCTCCTGTACTCGTAGGGCCTTCTTCAGCACTAGTTCTGGTACCCCATCCACCGTCAGCGCTATCTTTGGACCCCCTTCCTTCATCAGCACTACCTTTGGAACCCCATCCTTCATCAGCAGTATTTTTGGATTGCAATTCACCTGGTCTCTCATCCACGCTAGCTTTCCCTCCCCATCCCTCTTTCTGCACGCCTTCGGTTAACTGATGTCCACCTTTTGCATTCCAGTCATGCTCCATTGTCAACCCCCTTTCTCCCCCTCCTCCTCCTCGTCCTCCTCCTCCTCCTCCTCCTCCTCCTCCTCCTTGAGTAGCACGGAAATCAGACCCCCAAACACCATCACCTTCCTGGTTTGGCCAACTAGGAGGAGGGGGCGGTTCTTCCCCTCCTGGTGGCGTCTGGTGCCACTCTTGACCCTCAGCCGGCGAGCAAGCTGCTAAACCATCGCTGTCCCTATGCTGGCCCCCCTCCCAAGAACCACCAGTGCTGCCTTGCCTTTCAGGGTTTCGCCATCCTCTCTCAGCGGACCCCCAGCTGCCACCTCTTCCTGTTGAACCTCGACGTCTGGCACCACCTCCCCTTCCGCCCCTCCCAGACTTCATGTCTGTATTGCCTCCCCATCCATGCCCTCCTCGCCCTTCCCCATGACCAGTGCTGTAACCCCGGCCACCTCTTTCCACGTCTCCACTCGTCCTGGAGTCTGGACCACCTCCACTTCCCTCACTGCTTTCCCTTATCTCCTCCACAGTTGGGTTCATCTTCTCATCCCTGGTGTGTCCTTGCCAAGAGTCTCCATAGGATCCCCTGCCGGATCCCCTGCCCCCTCCATCTATATTTGCGCCTCCAGGTCCTCCCCACCTCCCTCCAGTTTCTCCACTGCCCACTCTCAAAGGAGCTCCCGGGCGACTTCCCCTCCCAAGATTTTGTCCGCTGTGACCTGTGCCCCAACCAAATCTGCCCCCATCTCTTGACCTGTTGTCATGAGCCCATGCACTCTCTCCATCGCCGCCAAATCCCATGTTCTCTCTGCCTCCTTCACTCCGGAACTGCGTGCCTCCTCCCCCCCATTGACTACCTCTTCCAGAACCCCACCCGCTCCCTCTGCCGCCCGCATCACTTCCCATCCTACCTGTGTTTGGATTGGCTTCCATCTCCGCCCAAGCTCCACCATGCTCTCCATCTCCCCAGGGCCGACTTTCTCCTCTTTCCCAACCACCTCCGTCAGGTGGCGCTCTACCACTGAACCTGTCACCGGCACCTCTACCACCAAACCTGTCAGCAGGCCCTCTAACACCAAACTTATCGCCAGGGCCTCTACCACCAAACCGATCACGCCCTCTTCCCCGACCTGATGGCCCTCCCCGGAACCTTCTTGAAACCCCACCAGATCCCCAGCTACCCCCACTTCCCCCACTTCCCCCACTGTGAGAGCCCCACTTGCTTCCATGCCACTCTGAGCCCCTGTTCTGTCCTCTTCCTCTGGGTGCTCGTGTCGCATTCCAACCTCCACCCCCACCCTCTACTCCAACTGGCATTCGCCTCCCTCCAAGCTGGTTGCCATGACCCCAACCACCGTTGCCACCATCTCCCCCTCTGCCATCCCCCAACCGGTCCCCATATCTCCACGAGTCCCACTTGTCTTCATCTTGTCCCATGCCTGTTTCTCCCTCTTTATGCCCATAGCCAGGAGCACCCCAGCCACCACCCAAGCCAGCGGTTCTGGTCCCCCATCCATCTCCGCCATCCATCTTACCTCCGCGTCCCCAGCCATGTGGGCCATCATATTCACCTCTTTGTGGCCCTCTGACAGGGAGACTTCCCCACCCCTTCTGGTAATCCAAACCTGTTGAGGGACCCCAGTTGCCTCCTCCTCCCCATTGGGCTCCACTGCCACCAACACCATCACCGCTTGGCCTCTCCCATCCATCTCCTTCCCATTCTGCACCACTACCTGTTTCCGAGTCCTCTGCTGATGAGTCCGGGGTCATATCCTCGTCCTCAGAACCCCATGAACGCAGATCACGGGCAGGCGGAACTGGTGGCGGAGGCACAGCAGGCCATGAGCTACTGCGATCGTCATCTTTGCTGGAGCTTTTGCCTTTGCTCGAACGCCTGGGACTTGAGCTCTGTCCTGCACTGTCCTTTTCTGGTGGATCGTGAGTCCATTCTTGGGGTACTCGACCTCTCTCCTGAGATGCAGGTACACCCCCCCATGATGTCTGCGAATCGGCTCTCAGCCCTGAACTTGTTGAAGCAGGAGTTCCTGGCTGCGACGGGACAATTGCCGCCACAGCCCGACGCGCTGGCAACTCGGCTATGCCATCGTTGAAGTGCCGTTGGAACCATTTGATCAGATCATCGGGGTTGTCAAAGTTGTTCTTCCGGAAACGGAAGCCACTTGGGGATACAGAAATATACTCATGATGAGGATTCACATTTCGCACATATGAGAGTGTGAAAGCGCCTGGATGCTCGTAACAGATACTCACATAGTATGGAATGATCCCAGGTTTCTCTGTCTTCTCTGCTTTCAGCTGCGTGTCGATCTCTGCCAGTGTGCCCCTTCTGAATTTGCGGTACTTCAGCATCATGCGGATGTATGTGACAAGGGGGTCTACATACCTCGCGACCACCTGCCCGTACACCCACAGCCACACCCACAGCCACACCCACAGCCACACCCACAGCCACATCCAAAGGCAGTGTAACACATGATGCCGTGCACAATAAGACATAAGCAGTGGAGCAGAGACATAGTTCCATAACAACTAGTGATTATCAACTCCCTGTTCAGCTGGGAATGATCCACCTCTCAGTCATCCTTCAGGGCAGAAGTGCAAGCGTATGCCCTTAGTGACCAGTGAAAGTTGCGTGCAAGAATAGTTCATAACAAAGTTTAGGGTGAAGGACACAGTGATGGGACGCTGGACCGGGTTTCCAGCAGGTGCAGCTCCCCACCAATAGAATGGAGCAAACAGAAAAAAGACCTTCTAGGGGGAGCTGCTCCTATCACCCCTCCTAGCAGAAGCCAACTAGTAAAAAGGGTGAAGGACAGCGTTCTTTGGGACATCCATTAAAATTGTAACAATACAGAGAAGATTAGCGTAGGCCCTTGAGCAAGGATGACGAGCATGAATCGAAAAACTTATCCAAAGGAAACCAAAAAAGGCTGAAGGAGACAAATAGTCCCCCTATGTTAAAAAAATGGTTAAGTTTGAGAGCACAAAATTGGCCTGGTCAGACAAGAATGCACATGGCCATCTGACCTTCCAGATGCATGCCATGCACTTGTTCATCTACACAGTTAGGATTTGTATCAATTAACTTTTTTTACCTCCAATAAAAAAACAACTGTGGTTGAACCTCTTCTATCTGGTATGGTACTTGGATTAATTCCTATTACATTAGCAGAATTATTTGTAACTGCTTACTTACAGTATCGACGCAGTGATCAGTTAAATTTATAGTAAAACTATTCAGATGCCGACAAGAAGAAGAAGAAGAAGATGAAGATGAACGGAGGAAGAACAAAGAGAGAAATGAGAAGAAGAAGAATAAGAAGGAAAGAAAGTACAAGTACAAGCAGAAGAAGAAGAAGAAGAAGAAGAAGAAGAAGAAGAAGAAGAAGAAGCCGATGCAGGGGATGAAGAGCACTTACTTCCTCCGTGTTGATGGTTATGGCACAGGAGAAAGAGGGGCATTGGCACACAATGCAATGATGATGAATGACCGCGATGATGGCGGCGGAGGATGGCAACAGCATTGAAGTCCCCTTATCCATGGTTTCAAACTGCGGCATATTATTCGAAATCAAGCGGCCCCTGGTTGGCATGCGATGGGAAACAAATGGCTCATTGACCGTGAAAGACTGACAGCCCACATTGCATTACAGAAAAGAAAAGGAGGGGACTGGTCGAACCCGACATCTTCCGTTCCGCCGATGCTGTGACGTAGTAGGATCCTTGATTGAGGCTTCATGTGCATTTTCGGTTGTCAAATGGCCCTGCAAAATTTCGCACTACGTTGCCTGGGAGGCCAACTGGGTGGCAGGCCTGGATGACACAGGGCACAGTTTAGCCAGCCGAGCAGGCCGGCGGGCAGCCAAGCTCAGGAGTGGAAATAGACTTTACATTTGTTGGGAACGAAACTGAGGGTATGACAGACATCACGTCCTTTGTTTTTATTTTGCCTATCTAGTATCTACCAACCTGAGCTTATTCAGTGCACAGGACCTCCGATAGACCACTCTCTTCTTCTGCTTAGGGGTTCTGACATTCCTTTCAGTGATGACAGCTTTAGGGTTGGATTTGGAGAATTTTTTAAAAGGGTAACTTGAACTATACATGGTGATGGAAGATGCTAGATATGCCAGGCTAGAAAAGGCGCCCTGTTCGAGGGGTGAAGAGGCGCTTCTTTCACCTTCCATAGCTTTTCATACCGCTCAGTCAACCCTCCTGGGTAACCTGGGGTAATCAATGCTGGCGGGATATTCTCATGTCTGTTTCATGAATGATTCTGTTGTACTCAAGGGGACGCTGGACCCGTTTTCCAGCAGGTGCAGCTCCCCACCGATAGATGGAGCAACCAGGTTCAGTTACCAGAGGTGGCTGCTCATACCTCCCCCTCTAAAAAAAGGAAAAAAGAAGAACTAATTTCTGCCTTTGGCATCAAACTGGTACTTAAAGTGATGCATTTTCCTGTGTCATTCACTGTGTGTACAAGAGAGGCCAAGCTGCGACTTTTCCCATATATGTCGGTTTTTTCCCCTAATGGACTAGCTCCAACAGTATGAATAGCACAGGACATCGTCAGGTCTAACGATTTGAATTCCGGATTTTTTGAATTTAAATTCTCAAGAGTCTCAAGAGTCTCAAGCTTATGAATAGCACCCACTGGCCGAGCTCAGTTGGTCTACCCCTGAACTGTTGAAACATGTCCCTGAGTTCGAAATCCAGTGAGAGCAGATGAGTAAAATACAACAATTCTGAATTACGTAGGGCGGGTCAGTTCGATGATGATATCTCAAGCCAGTTGCCCTTTTTTCAAAAAAACATATATCATCAGCTCCTGTGTGTGTGCTGTCAAAGAACCCCAAACTCTCTCTTCATTCCATCCACAAATCATCAACAAACCATCCATAAAACAAGGAAGGTATAGATAGGCAATAAATAATGGATGCAATGTTGGCCACGTCAAGTGCCCATACACCCATGTCCCGCCGGAGCGGCACGCTTGCATTTAAATATTTATATATACATACAGGGTTCAGCCTCCTGATGAGTTGGTGAAACTCCAACGAAACAGTTTGTCACAGCCCCTCGTTTGTTGTCCTCTTCTCCCTCTCTGCCTACGGTTTACCGGGCAGCTCTGTTTGACTATATATATACATAATACATATTGTGTGAGGAATGTGTCCTCATGGGCCCCTAGACAACATGCATATGTTCTGACTGTGCCCCCCCAGCAAGCCTCGTGCCCACCCTAAGTGAAGGCGGGCCTGAATATCCACGAGAGGCCCTTATCTCAGGATTTTCCAATGTGGGTCTCAGCCAGTTGCTGCACGCGAGTTTGTTGAAGTGCAACCTGGGCCTCACCCTGGGCTCTTCCAGAATAAGCAGCTGTGTCAGGCAGTTGAGCCCAGGACGCAGGTGGTTGCGCCCTGGGCACATGCAGTGTGAGGCCGACACACCACGAAGTGGCCACGGGCCAATGAGAATGCAGCATTGTCGTCACACCTACCCGGGGGCCCAATGCAAACACAGCAAACATTTGGGGCCTGGATAATCCTGGGTGTGCCCAACTGCAAAGGGCCCAGGCCCTCAAAAGTAGACATGGGCCTGGGCGCAGACACTGGGGCCCGACCAGAAGCTACTGGAAACTTCCACGGGCAGGCGCAGACAGTGCAGCAGCAGCAGTGACTCCCATATAGGGAGGAGGCTGGCCAGTGTTCGGGATGCTGGCCTAGGCAGGCAATGCGGACACACTGCTGCGATTCAGCGCAAGTGTCTGCGTTGCGCTAGTGCTGGCTGGGGCTTGCGTGGGCGCTGAGAGGTGTGGGGAGCTGCAGGGCAGCAGGGCGCCAAGCGGCCATAGCCGGGCTGCAGGGGCGCGGGCAGCTGGAGGCGACAATGGTCTTTAGGAAGAATGCGCAGATGTGGGTGGACAAGGGGTGATGAGGGGAGTCGAGAGTACGTACCTGGTGTATGTGGGGGTCGACATTGGTGTTAACGTCATGTACATTGGTCTTCGAAGTCGAAGTGAGCCTGTTGCATGAATGTAGATAGGCTAGGTAGGATGAGTAGAGTAGGCTGGGCGCTGGGCGCCAGATAGTAGGAGCGACATTGAATACTGTGTTCGTGTGGCCTGAGGGCTTGGACATTGGCTCACGAGTTCACTGTATCGCTCTTATTTGGATGGAATCATGGTGCATTTGAGCTCTCTGCTTGCATACATGACTACCTGGACTTTTGCGTGATTTTGCAATTTGGTTATCTGTATATCGCTCTTGCTCATATTCCTTCGAGCACATGAGTAAGAAAATGCCATCAAAGAAGTTGGCAAAGTCCACCTACGACAGGGAACTCTACGCCCTTTACAAAACCCTCGTCCACTGGAGACACTATCTGTTGGGAAGGTTCTTCTACTTGAGAAATGACCATCAAACACTCAAGTGGATCAAGACACAACCTGTCCTCTCTGATGCACTCAAACGCTGGATTGAGGTCACAAACAAGTATGACTTCAAGCTTGATTATGTAAAGGGAGAGTATAACGAGGTTGCTGATGCGCTGTCACGTAGGGCATACTACCTAGGTGCGCTAATTACTGAGTTTGACTTATATGCGATGTAACTCGGTCAATGGTGGAAGCTTACAAGGAATACCCTGTCACGATGGACATCATATGCAAACTTTAGGCCCACGACAAGGCCACATCCGATGAGTTTGTGATGGTGGATGGGTTGCTCTTTCTTGAAAGACAGGATTCAAGAGATTAGTTGTTCCATCTAGTGAGATTTTGCGTAGTTTGTTTTAGGAGAGCGTCATGACGCAATGGGACATTTTGGCTATAAGAAGACGAGTGCAAATCTGGTACAACGATTCTGGTGGCCTGGTATGCTAGACGAAGCCAATCAGTACGTATAGACCTGTCAAGTCTGTCAGCAGGATAAACCGCGAGCTCAAGCCCTTGCCCATTCCTGCTGATCCGGGACAGAGCGTCTCCATGGACTTCATGGATACCCTCGTGACCAGCAAGAGTGGCAAGAGGCATATCTTCGTCAGAGTTGATAGGCTTACTAAGTACTCTAGACTGATTGCCATGCTGGAGACTGCAAGGACTGAACACGTCATCAAGTTATTCATGGATAACTGGGTACGTGACTTTGGACTGTCAAAGACTATCGTTAGTGACAGAGATGTCTGTTTCACAAGTGAAATGTGGAAGAAGGCTGCAGAACAGATGGGCAGCCAACTCCAAATGACTTATGGGAATCATCCCGAAGCCAACGGGCAGGCTGAACAGATGGACCGAGTAGTGCAGCATCTGCTGAGGCATTACATTAAACCCAACCAAGATGACTGGGATGATAAATTACCTCTCATTGCCAGCCTGTACAACAATGTTGTGCACAGCACCACCGACGTCAGTCCAAATCAGCTGCACCTGGGGTGGTAGCCTAGATCTGCTCTAGACTTCCTCCTGCCTGAAAGCCGATCTGCTCCCGGAGCCATAGAATTTGGTGTCCAGTATGAGAAGTTGCTGCAGCAAGCAGTCGGACACATCAAGAAATGTTGATAAGCAATTATTGCTACTGAGAACAAACATCGACGACAGTCCACATTTCAGGTAGGGGAACGTGTCTGGGTGAAGTCTAGTGAGCTAGAACAGAAATTCGACATCTCTAGGAAACTAATGCCTCAATACTTCGGTCCTTGGGAAATCTTAGATATCGTGGGTAGTGAGATGGATGGTCCCTCGTATGTGATTCAAATCCCTGGTCGCTGGCGCACTTACCCTGTGTTTCACGCCTCAAAGCTTACACCTTTCGCTGAGACACAGCAGTTCCCATCAAGGAGATCAATGCTGCCCCCAACCATGGATGGCCACATGGACGTCGACGACATTTTAGAACACAGAGACATGCCTGTCCCTAAACCTGTGGGTAGAGGAAGACCGCCGAAACCCAAGAGGGAATACAGGGTCAGATTCAGGCATCACACCGATCCAAAAGAAGACAGATGGTTCACCAGAGAGGAGCTGATTGAAACAACACCTCAGATTGTGGCAGACTATGAAAGAAGGTTGAAGGGGAAGGCTCCTGCTTAAGAAGCATCTCAGCGGAATTCCGAAGCTAAGGGGAATGGAATGTGAGGAATGTGTCCTCATGGGGCCCTAGACAACGTGCATATGTTCTGACTGTGGCCCCCCAGCAAGCGTCGTGCCCGCCCTAAGTGAAGGCGGGCCTGAATATCCACGAGAGGCCCTTATCTCAGGATTTTCCAATGTGGGTCTCAGACAGTTGTTGCACGCCAGTTTGTTGAAGTGCAAGCTGGGCCTCACCCTTGGCTCTTCCAGAAGAAGCAGCTGCGTCAGGCAGTTGAGCCCAGGGCGCAGGTGGTTGCGCCCTGGGCACATGCAGTGTGAGGCCGACACACCACGAAGTGGCCACGGGCCAATGAGAATGCAGCATTGTCGTCACACCTACCCCGCGGGCCAATGCAAACACAGCAAACATTCGGAGCCTGGATAATCCTGGGTGTGCCCAACTGCAAAGGGCCCAGGCCCTCAACTGTAGACATGGGCCTGGGCGCAGACACTGGGGCCTAACCAGAAGCTACTGGAAACTTCCACGGGCAGGCCCAGACAGTCCAGCAGCAGCAGTGACTCCCATATAGGGAGGAGGCCGGCCAGTGTTCAGGAGGCTGGTCTAGGCAGGCAATGCGGACACGCTGCTGCGATTCAGCGCAAGTGTCTGCATTGCACTGGCACTGGCTGGGGGCACGCGCGGGCGCTGAGAGGTGTGGGGCGCTGCAGGGCAGCGGGGCGCCAAGCAGCCATAGCCGGGCTGCAGGGGCGCGGGCAGCTGGAGGTGACGGTGGTCTTCAGGAAGGAGGCGCACATGTGGGTGGACAAGGGGTGATGAGGCGAGTCGAGAGTACGTACCTGGTGTATGTGGGAGGTCGGCATTGGTGTTGACGTCATGTACATTGGTCTTCGAAGTCGAAGTGAGCCTGTTGCATGACTGTAGATAGGCTAGGTAGGATGGGTAGAGTAGGCTGGCGTATGTGTACTGTGTGTTTGAACACACTACAATAACCCTTTCCACCCACATTCATATCTATCATATTTGGAAGAGTCTTACCATCTGATATTTTTTGTTTTCATTCAGCCAGCTGAGAGGAACTGAAAGGATCCGCATTCATTGCCTGCTCGGGTTCGATCCCAGACCCTCGTGTGCCTATAAGTTTCCAGTTGACTGAGCATGCAGAGATTTGAACCTGGAACTTTACTTGGGGGTGTTCTATAGAGATTAGCCATTTTGTGTTTGAAGAGTCTTGATCCCATGACCTGCACCTGCACAAACTCGTAGCAAAGTCCTTAGTACCGTTCGTTGGCTGTCAATAGAGGTAGGGCGTCCAGCAGGTTGCCTGCCACAACCCAGGCCAGGCCAGAACGGTACCAGTACCCAAGGCCAAGCAACAAATGTCTTCTGCTGGAAGCCGGATCGTCATTCCAGTGTGTTGAAGCTGGAGGAAATTCGTGGACGAGAGGAACAGTGCTATTTGACCTAACAAATGAAGGAGAAGCGGCAGCCATAGCTGCTGTGTGCTGTGTGTAGGCCATAGCATCATGTCTGAAGTGTGTGTGTGTGTGTGTGTGTGTGTGTGTGCTGTTTCACACGCGCTATGCTGTGAGTGAGAGCCTGAGAGGAGGGCAGTGTTGATGATGCCACGTCAGCGCGCTGACGTGCGGTGGCTGACCGGGTCCTTGGGAGCGTAGGTCCATAGGAGACACACTTGCTATTGGCAGTTTTGTGTGTGTGTGTGTGTGTGTGTGTGTGTGTGTGTGTGTGTGTGTGTGTGTGTGTGTGTGTGCTGTTTCACACGCGCTATGCTGTGAGTGAGAGCCTGAGAGGAGGGCAGCGTTGATGATGCCACATCAGCGCGCTGACGTGCGGTGGCTGACCGGGTCCTTGGGAGCGTAGGTCCATAGGAGACACTTGCTATTGGCAGAGTGTGTACCATGTGAAGACCTGGGTTGAACTCTGATTTGCACTTTTGTACCAGCGAATGACAAGGCTTTGTGGATTTGGAAGTTTTACTGAAGTTCCATCGTTAACTTAAGTGAGAAAATTGTGGCTGACGTGCCATGTCGAATTTGCAAGTGTGAGTGAGCATATGTGGATGTTGTCTCCTAGAAGGTACATTATATATCGGTGAATTAAAATTCAATTAAGCTAATAGATGTGCATTTCAGCATACAACTCTTTATGACCGTGTAGGCAATCAGGTGGATACACTAGCTTGGGTGAGTCATAGACAGAAGAGAATTTTCAACTGCTTTGTCTTTGATTGCCCACCTCATCCAGATCTTCGAAGGTATTGGTGCCGATGGTGAGCAGCTTCCCTATTCCCAATAAGCCGATCGGGTCTTTGGCGTCTTTCCCGGTTTCCTTGATGTCGATGTGCGTGTACACTCCCTCAAAGAACTTGAGAGTGATGGACAGATGAGTGGGTCCTTTGCTACTTGGCCGGATGACCACTTCACCGACCTCCTTCTCCATCAGCAACTGCAAGTACGTGATGACAGAAAAGAAGAGGATTGACAATGGCTGTTTAGATAAACATGGCAGGATGGTAAACACAGCCCAGAGGCTGTCTAATTAGACATAGCAGTACACATCAGATGCGCACGAGTCTATTGACTCATTCAAAAGAACGCGAAATGAAATTATACTCGAGAAACAAGGCAAAAAAAAAAAAAACCACTTCTTTATTTACGAAGAGCTTGTAATTTCATTGAGTATATAATTCGTTCAAATGGTCATATATTATTTGTAAGGTTATCACTTCCAATTTCCAGCTGTTCTTGGCACCGCCCAAGGTTGCCTTCACATTAGGAAGGCAGGATCGATGCTGAAGGAGATGATTGATGCTAACATGCTGCTTTTGCAGTATTGGTTGTGGCACATGTTTTGACAATTAATGGTGCATGCTGGTAGGTTGAGTGCAATTGCAGAAAGGCCAGGACATAACATTCAACGCATCCAGGGAGTGCCAGCTCGCTCTTCAGCTAATCATCAAACCTATAAACGAAAGGGTCAGCATCGACTCAGCAAGCTCAAGGAAAAGCAAAACACCGAGGCTCGACTCGTCCAGACTATGATAGGATGGAAACGCGATAGCAGAGAGCCAACCAAACAACAAATTCAACAATTCAACTGGTCAACTAAGGACACTTTCACACTACAACTTTTCTGGATTTATCTGACTTCCATTATGACTGAAAAAAAACAACATTTTGTTTCCAGGCTCCAGCTGTGTGTGTGTGTGTGTGTGTGTGTGTG